GTGTGTGTGTGTGTGTGTGTGTGTGTGTGTGTGTGTGTGTGTGTGTGTGTGTATGTGTGTGTATGTGTGTGTGTGAATATACATATACAAATATATGTAAATATACACACACAATATAAAGAGAGAGAGCGCGCGCGCATGTCTCTACACAGATATTTCAGAAAATAACATCAATTTTGAAATAAAACCATTGCACATGCGCAATGATCATTTACTGGACCACATCACTTCTCTAGAGAATAAGTAATGGGTGCATTCAACAATGCTGTCAGGGTTTCCCACTGCTATACAGTTTCCCACTCACTGCATACTAAATTGTTTTGTTTCAAAACAGCCATTACTTCTGTAGATTTTTATACAGATCCAGTTCTCGAGAGAGACACTAAAGGCATTTTATTTGGAAGGATTGTAAATATCTTTCAAGAAAGTGTTAGGTACCCAGTTTGTTTCCATGCTTGCCTCAGCAATCTAGTTCAGGGTCACTATTCTCTAAAAGGGGAATGCTATTCTAGCATGCAGTGCTTGGATAAAGTCCTCTGCATAAATACAAGCTTTGGGAAGTTGAGGACTAAGTTTTAAGAAACAGCTTGCTCAGGCCAACTGTAGTACATCAACTTTTATCATGCACTGAAAAACTAATTGGGCTGTCTCTACACATGGTAATCTACAGTTACACAGTAGGGCTGTGTGAAGCTTTGGTAACCAATTCGATTCAGAGGAGATTTGGCCGATTCAGCGGCTGAATCTCCAAATCTGAACTGAACTGGGAGACCCATTAAAAGGTCTGAATCAAATTGGAAGCCTCCAAATCGGTTCGGGGAGATTCAGAGATTCAACCATAGACTATACAGGTGGTCTTCGACAACACTGGACACAACTGCCTCCAGCTGAGAAGTCTGTTGTGGTGGGTGAAGAGGGGAGGAAGGAGCATGGGGGTGGAGGGCAGATCAGTGCCCTCACAGTGAGGAAGGGATTGGGGCTGGGGCTGGGGCAAGCTGCCCAGCCGGGGCAGGGGGGTGCAGGACTTGAGGAGGAGGCTCGAGCCACTGTGCACCACCGTGTGCCACCTGTCTGGGAGCTGCTCTTCTGGTGGCCCAGAAGGGCACGGGAGTGGACGCATGCCCTCAGATCTGTGCAGGTTGGGCTGGGCCAGGCTGCACTCCAGGAGGCTAGCCCCAGTCACCCGCCACCAGGCTGTGGTCTGCTGGGTGGGTGGAGCCAGGGCCGAACTCTGGGAGGCTAGCCGCAGCTAGTGGCAGCTGGGGCTAGCCTCCCGGAGCACAGCCTGGCCCAGCCCACCCTGCACAGATCCAGGGACAAACACCCACTCCCATGCCCTCCCAGACCAGCAGCAAGAGCTGCTGGAACAGCCACCAGAAGAGAAGCTCCCATGCCAGCAGCACATAGCAGTGCAGTGGCAGAAGCCCCCTCCCCAAGTCCCGTGCCCCCCCCAGCCCTGGCTGGGCAGCTTATCCCAGCCGCAGCCCCAATCCCTCCCTTGCTGCGGAAGCGTTGATCTGCCCACCGCCCCCATGCCCGTTCCCTCCCACCTCTGCCCACCACAACAGACTTACCAGAGGAGGCAGCTGTGTCCAGCATCATCAAGGACTGCCTGTATAGTCTATGGCTGTATCTCCAAATCTGAATCGGCCAAACTGAATTGAGACAGTGATTCGAATCACCAAATCGAATCACTGTCCCTCTGAATTGGCCAAATCCGAAACAAATACTTGCTTCTTTGCACAGACCTATTACACAGGGACCATAAAAAGGACTAAGAGTTTACAAGTGAAAGCACCAATGTGAAGAAGCAAGAAGCACCAACATAAATGTTCTGAAACTGGGTTCCTTTCCTTATCTTAATGCAGAGGGTAATGCTTAATGGAAAGTGTTCCGCATTTTTCAGTTTTCACTGAATTTCACTGCTAAATTACCAGATTTTTTTTACTGAAGTTATTTTTTACTGATTTACACCCGTTTTTCAGTGCAAGTCAATAAAAACTGATTGGGGGGGCAGTGGTGGCAGCCACACATGGAGTGGGGGTGAGGGGAGTGACAGTGACCATCTGGAGGCCAGGGAAGGGTGGCGGGATCTGCTACCTGGGGACATGGGGCTCCTAGCTCTGACTCGGGCAGGACAGGAGGGGCTGCAGGAATCACTCCCAGGGCAGGCGGGTCTGAGCTGCACCCAGTAGCTCTGGCTGCAGCCCTGACCTGGGCACTGGGAGCTGCGAGCCCTGCTGGGGGGGCAGACAGGAGAGCCCCGCCCTGCTCCCTGTGGCAGGTGCTGCACCTAGCTGCTCCACATGGGCCCGCAGGGCTGGAGTCACTGCCCAGGGGCATGGGGATCCTGGCTCTGACTGTAAGCAGGGCAGGAGGGGCCAGCACCAATCCCGGGGTCAGGTCCCCGCCTTGTGTCCAGCCGCATACCGTTCTCCCCTTCCCCCAAGAGTCCAGGCAGCCCAGCAGCAAGCTGCTGCAGCAGGGGGAGGGGCTCAGCGCAGCCTGTCAGTCACTCCCAGGGCTGCAGCAGGAAGCAAAGTGGGGGGAGCTATCAGTGGGTGTAGGGAGGCATGGCTCTTGCTGCTATGTGCCCCCCAGGAGGGCTGCGGGGTGGGAGGGCTGCATCAGGCTCTTCCCAGGAGGTGCATGCCCTTGGATCTGTGTGTGGGACAAGAGCTCTTGTCCCACGTGCAGATCTGGGGCCACCTGCCCCCAGGGAAGAGCCCAGTGCGGCTCCCCAGTCTGTAGCCCTCCGGGGGGGGGGCACATACCAGCAAAAGCCACCACCCCTCCACCCCACACCCATTAACAGCTCCCCCAACTTTGCTCCATGCTGCAGCCCCAGGAGTGGCGGATAGGCTGTGCTGCACCCCTCCCCCC